CGGCCGGGCCCCGCGGCCCCCAGCCCTCCGCGTGCGCCCCGCGCCTCCGCCGCCGGCCGCTGGCGCCCGGAGCCCGCCGCAAGTTTGCAGAGCTGCCCCTCGGCGGCGGCGGCGAGCGAGCGCGGCGCCACGGCGGAGCCGCCTCCCGCGCGAACCGCACTACTGCGCTGGGTCCGCCCGCCCAGGCGCAGGCAGGCGCACGCACTCGCTCACGCGGGCTGGCACCGCCACAACCCGCCAGCCGGTGTGACGGGAGCCCTGCTACCCGCAGCAAAAAAAATTAAAAAATTAAAAAAACCTGCCCTAGGTACGGAGCATGCGCCAAAGCCTTCCTCGGCCCGGAGGAGTCTCCGGGGGCGGAGTCCACGGCTCCGCGTGGCTGGCGGGAGGCCGCTGGGGGCGGGAATCCCTGCAGCCCGGAGCCGGCGGAGAGTGAGGCAGCTACCATGGACAGCGAACAGGCCCCTCGGAGGGCGGCGCCAGCCAGGAGCCGACGGCTCCGAGCCGCAGCGCTGGCAGCTTTCTCGGCGAGAGCGTGGACAGAAACCCGGCCGGCGCTGTTCGCAGGAGCAACACCGCTATGGCAGGAGGTCCCGCGCAGAACACACCACACAGCGGCTGCTGTCCCTCCTCGGCGGGGAACACGGACTCCAGGCCTCACTCACCGTCTCCCCACCACATGCAAACTGACGGTCAAGTTTGCTCCAAGTTTCCTTAACTGTAAGCTTAGTAGGTCCAACGCTACAACTTCATTCAACCGGCAGCCATTAAACGCCTGCTACGTCAAGGGCATTGTGTTGAATGCACGCGTCGTTTCCTTCGCCACCAGACCAGCCCAACACGCAGCCAGGCAGGGTGTAAACGGAGGTTAAGGGTCACCTCCAAAATTCAGCCCACTAACCAAGGCTCGCCCTTGCCCACCCAAGTGAAACAACACCAGCTCTCCCCAGCTGTATTCCACGTGAAGCCTTTCTTCGTCCGCAGAATTTTTTAACATCCTTTTTCAAGTGATCAAATTCAAATTTTGAATTTGCCCCAGAACCCAAACTGCTTCAGTGCGCAGCCAGACTCCGCCCCAGCTGCGCTATCTCCGGAGGACTGTGCTGGCCTCTTCTGTCCCCAGCACACCCGTCGCCTAAACTCGGATGTCTTCTGGGAGCGCCAAGGCTTGCTCGTCAGAAGTGATGCTTTCAAGCTTACAACAGCGGCAGCCCGTGCGTTCTTCATACTGTGGAAGCCTACATTCCTGAGAAAGGCGGTGGATGAAATGAACCAGCTTCTCCTCGAGAGCTCTGGGAATTCTATTTTCTCTCACCCAAGTTCAAAATCCTACTAATGACGTCGTACTACACTGCATAACAAGAAATTGTGGATTTTAAAACAAGAACTCAATAAAACCCAGCAATTATTTCCTAAGTGCATTGAGCTAATAGAGACTTTTTTAAGGCTAGAGATTGACTCAGTTGATAAAATGCATCCACAAGGCCCTAGATTTCCATTTCCAGAGCCAATTAGTTTTTAGAGCTGGACAAGATGGCCAGAGCTCAAAAGCTCGGTGTCTCTGCTAAGGAAGCAAGACAAGAGACAAATGGATCACCAGGCACGTTCCAGGCCAGTGATAGGCTCCTTCTCACGTAAAAAGCGGAAGGCATTTGAGGAACGACATCCCAAGCTGTCCTGGCCTCCACATGCACAAGCACAGAGAAGCACATGGGGTGGGGGAGGGACGGTGTTTCACTTCAGGTGAAATGTCATTATGCCTTTGTGCACAATTTTATTTGAGAAATACTTCTTGATCTCTCATAGCTAAAGAGAGCCTTTGTATCCAAATGAGTTACAGGGGTGTTGGTGGTAATTTTCGTAGTGGAAAAGCACTTTCCCAACCATCTTCTCATTTGCTCCTCAGAACATTACTCTAAGGAGATTAAAGAAAAAAAAAAAAAAAAACGATGGATACTATTTCATTTCTGAGATGAGGAAACTGAACCAAGAAAAGCTTGGTTAAAGCAAAGTTAAAATTAGAAGCTTCTAATACCCTGAAATACATTCAAACCACCACTGAAGAAATCCACAGAACAACAAAAACACAGTTCATAATTTCCTCTCTCCCCCGAGACCCTGTGGAGCAAGAGGCAGGAAGAAGCAACAGCCTTGCTACAGAACAATTAAGTTATTTTCCCTCTCCCTACGGCTTGCTAGGCAAAGCAGAGCAATTTCACATCCGGCAATCTTTTGGTATCTAGTCAGAGTTTCCAGGTAAACAAGGGAAGGATAGTACCAATCGTAAGGGGTGGCATCATTATTAAAACAGGTCATTTATGAGATTTATAAAATTATAAAGTATTATAAAATTATAACAGCTATGTTGTTGATGACTTGTGTGTCCATAAGTCTGCATGACAGTGTTCAAAAAACATTATTCCATAACACTATAAAAATCTTTTTTATTATTGTTTTTTACTTTCAGTAAAATAGATAATGGGATGCCACCGTTTCCTTGAGATAATTGGAAGAAAAACAACGTGTAGGTTCAAGCCAGTTGCATGGATAATTCAGGCATGTGTTCAGAAACTCATTTCTAGCGATAGGTAACTTTGGTTGGATAAACACCTTGTCTATCCCAGGTGTGATCTCTCTAGTACCACAGAAGAACTTGTTGTGAACCTAATCAAAGCTCTTAAATTGTGCAATCGACAGGCTTCCTTATCACGAGGGCAGAGCTGGCATTCTGGTGGAAATGAATAGAAACTCTCTAAAACTGAAGCTCCCCAGGTGAAGGGAAACATATTTGCATTCGGCCTGCTACAGTTACTGCAGGTGACACCCGCTGGCAATTGTTTCTGCCTAACAGATTGCAGCTACTATGATTCCTACAGAAATTATTAAAAGAATAAAAGTAACGTTTTCAAAAAACTTTCTTCCACTTCCTCTGCCAGTCTAGCAGTGAGCTTAACACTTAGCTGTCTGGGAGGCAATTTGTTCACCTAATTTTATGCCTTAATAAGCTTTACTACAGTTTTCTTGCCTGACTCTTTCTCTACCATCCGCTGTTCTTCTCAATACTCTCAAACCTGTAACCTTGCACACCCCCTCTAGGATTCAAGCTTTTGATTAGCCCAGTCCTCATTTAACCAACTTCAACTGGGAGATTAAATTGCATCTCAGTTTCTTCCTTTCCCTTTTGGTACAAGAAACTGCCTTTGAGAAAGATGAGGACGTTGTGCAAGTTTTGGTTTATGATTTGTAAACATGGTTTTGCTTTGATCCCAGGTGTAGGCTGTTGGACTGATTCAGATGATCCGCAGAAGCAGACTATTTGCCTGGTGCAGGCTCTGAGAGGAGCTCTGTGCCAGCTACAGATAGTTTAAATCAAAGTCTCTGGAGAGGGAATAACTGCCAGGGCCCAGAGAGAGAAGGGGGCTCCGAGAAAGAAGAGGCTGCTGCTCCCCCTGCTGCTCCGGATTGCTGTTGATGCAGTGTGAAGGAAAGTCAGAGATCTCCTGAAATGAAGATTCCCCCAAAGACCCCAATGACCCTAACAGCAGGAGAACTCTGCCCCATCCCCACTAACGTCCTTCTCTCCTTCCTGGTGTCGGGGTGTTAGAAGAGATTGGAGAAGGAAAAAGAAACTTAAGAAACAAATAACAGATTTAGTGTGTCTAATTTTATGTTGAGGTCTTTGATCTACTTGGATTTTACTTTTGTGCAGGCTAATAGATATAGGTCTATTTGTATTTTTCTACTTGTAGACATCCAGTTAGACCAGCACCATTTGTTGAAAATGCTGTGGGTTTTTTTTTTTTCCATTGTATGGTTTTGGCTTCTTTGTCAAAAATCAGGTATCCATAAGTGTGTGGGTTTATTTCTGGGTCTTCTATTCGATTCCATTGATCCACCATTCTGTTTCTATGCCAGCGCCATGTCGTTTTTATTACTGTTGCTCTGTAGTACAGCTTGAGATCAGGAATGGAGATACCTAATGACAATCTTTTATTGTACAGGATTGTTTTAGCTATTCTAGATTTTTTTGTTTTTCCATATGAAATTGAGAATTGTTCTTTCAAGGTCTTTAAAGAGTTGTGTTGGTATTTTGATGGGAATTGCATTGAATCTGTAGATTGCTTTTGGTAGGATGGCCATTTTTGCTATGTTAATTCTACCAATCCATGAACATGGGCAATCAAAATTGTGGTACATTTACACAACAGAATACTACTCAGCAATTAAAAACAAGGAAATCATGAAATTTGCAGGTAAATGGTAGGAACTAGAAAAGATTATCCTGAGTGAGGTAACCCAGAAGCAGAAAGATACACATGATATAAACTCATTTATGGCCATATAATATAGGATAAAAATACTAAGGTCTACAGAATTAAAGAAGCTAAACAACAAGGAAGATCCTAGGGAGGATGCTTAATTCGCATTCAAAAGGGAAAACAGGATAGACACTGGAAGCAGCAGGAGAGAGGGAACAGGACAGGAGCCTAACACAGATGTTCTCTAAAAGACTCCAACCAGCAGGGGATCGAAGCAGATGCAGAGACTCACAGCCAATCTTTGGGCAGAGTGCAGGGAGTCTTATGGAAGAAGGAGGGGATAGAAGGACCCAGAGAGGACAGGAGTTCCACAAGGAGACCAACAGAGACAACAAATCTGGGACCAGGGAGTCCTGCAGAGACTGATGAATCAACCAAGGACCATGCATGGAGAGAACATTAACCCCTGCTCAGATGTAGCCAATAGGCAGCTCAGTCTCCATATGTGATCACTAGTAAGGGGAACAGGGAGTGTCTCTGACATGGACTCAGTTGTCTTCTTTTTGATCACCTCCCCCTAGAGAGGTGGCCTTATTAGAGGAAGAGGATCCAGGCTGTCCTGATGGGACCTGATTGGCTATGGTCAGGTAGAAGGGGAGGAGGACCTCCACTATCAGTGGACTAGGAGATGGTCATAGGGGGAGAAGAGAAAGGTAGGTTGGGACCAGAAGGAGATAAGGGAGGGGTTACAACCAGGATACAAAGTGAAATAATAATAATAATAAAACCTAAATGAAAAGTTTAAAAAAATAGCAGCAACATAAGGACACTCTGGAAAGATTAGTGATCCAGACAATCCTGAAGAATAATGTAGGCTCCCTGCACCTTCACATGGGAATGCAGAGATGTGCACGCCCTTTGAAGCATATAGAAAACAAAATAGAGCATGTCGTGAATGGCGATGTGAGTCCCTCTTTTTAGAATGAGTAGGGGCTGGAGAGCTGGCTCAGTAGCAAAGAGGACTGGCTGTTCTTCCAGAAGACCTGGGGTTGATTTCCACAGCACACATTTGCAGCAGTCGTAAGTCCAGTCCCAGGAAATCCGTGACTCTCTCTGTCCTCCTCAGGCACAACGGTGCACAGACATACGCCCATGCTCATACAAGTTCAAAATGAAATAATGGATGAAA